TCGAGAACCCGAACAGATATCGCTGGCAACATTCTCCAGCGGCTTCCACTCGTCACTCTCATAGCCACATCTTCCCCTTCAATCACTCTATAAGCAGCAGTCCTACCTCTAGGAAGTTGTTATCGTGGTTCTGTAGCTTCCCAGGTACATTTTTCCTAACATGTCTCTTGCTTCCGCCTCCCTGCCTCAGCACGCAAGGATTAAGCAGCTAAACGCTCTCCTTTCTGGTCTTTGCTCTTCTTCTGCAAGCGGTGCCCTCGCCGCCGGCAAGAATGACGATATAACACGTTTATGTTTTTGTAGGCGATATATCTCACTTTGCTAGAGCATGTTTCATGGTCGGAATCTGTCAGGTTCTCCTGCCCTCTCTTTCTCTATAGCTTTGTTGTCATCATTGTTCACTGTACCACAGCCCAGGACGTGTTTCGGTCAGATAGCAAGGCCTGCTGGATAAAAGTGCGTAGTCTTGAATGTTGTCAGCGGTGCTTTCACGGTCTCTTTGGATACGCCTAGGTGGCGCGGGGTCACGACCCGCGCGAGGTACATGTGGCGCACCTCTTTAGATCTTAGACCTAATAATACTGCTGACGGTGCACTTTTGGTAGATGTTCCTCGGCGGCTCTGGCACTAGTCTTTTCCTGAAAATAGGAATATCAAGGTAACAGAAGATGGTTGACGTTATCGAGATTAACAGGTGAACCACTTGAGCACTGAAAGGAAATTCGAGTGAGAGCAAACCGCGCTCCGGCTATGATACTAGTAGGGTCGTATCTGGGCCGTGTTTTGGTACTTCTAATGTTGAGGCATGGAGAGAGAGCGCCGGCAAGGGAAGTGATTACATAAGTCGGAGATCAAGTTCATCGCAGGTCAGAGCGCCGAGCCTGGTCTTGTGTCCCAACGCTCACCATCCATTATGAACCAATATAGCGACTGTCACTGCTGGAGTGACGCACAAATTCCATACTATTGCAAGCTACGACCAAAAAAAAAATGCATGACCAGTTAAGTACGCGGCATATTACTTTCCCGCCGTACTTTGCTCTGGTCAATTTCGTATACGGCGCCGGCAAGGCCTACTTTCTCGTACACGCACACGATAATAGAGCAGGCTATGTGAAATCGTAGGACCACAATGTCAAGTGGGAATGCCATGGTGCGCCAAAGGCCTTCTTTACGTTGTGTCATGATGGACTGATCTTACTCTCAGCTCTGCGTTATGCGCGACGTTATTCATCAACTTATACCAAAGGGTACAATATCTGCGTCATAGACGACAAACTAGGCATATATACTAGGCCTAAGATCACCGTTTCTGTGCTGTTCAAGATTTAGCTGGCACCATACCTGTCACACGGCATCACTAAGCTCAAGTCAAGCTGTGGTCGGGACCGAGAATCGAACACCTGCCAAGCCCGCTGCAGCTGCTACGCGCGTTGCCAGTCAGATTACCGCCCCTAAGCGCAAGGCTGTTGCACATGCGCGCACGGTGACGCCACGTCCGCAGACGGAATGCCAAGGCCACGCGTGCCATCCGAGAAGCCGCGTTCGAAAGGACAGACGAACTGCAGGAGGCGCTTGGGGACGGACGCGTTGTATCTGATGGTCCGGACGAGGAGCTCGCGTCTGCTACCGCCGCGCGTCCGTCTCCAATGATGTCAAGAACCAGAATGAGGCTGGCTGGCGCTGCCACGACTTCTGCACCATCTGTCTCCACACCAGTAAAGAAGCGCCAGGCCGCGACAGCACTGTCCGACACCGCAGATGGCACATACGACGACGAGAACGTGCAATTGTCAGCGCGGCCGAAGGCAAAGGAACGCTCTCCGAGCATCACCTCTTCGGGGCTCGACGACGAGGAGCCCACGAAGACCTGCGCCTCGTTGTCGAGTTTGGCGGCACCTTCCCCACACTCCTCACTGCGAAAACCTGCCGGTGCGCAGCACCCTCTGCCGACCATCGGCGCAGAAAGCGCTGCCAAGCCCTGGCTGATGCGGCTCTCGTTCAAGCCGGCTCTGTGCGCGCACTGGTCTTACGTCTTCGAGCACGATGCGGTCAAGGAGCGAGCGCAGGTGGTCCAGAGCATGATGCACGGGCCTGGGAAGTGGAACGAGACGGTGAAATAAAGGCAGTACTACTGGAAGCCGTTCGCGATGATCACGCGCTGAGACTGACGAGGAGGTCTCCGCTTTCACCACTCAGCTATCGACCATCACTTATCTCTTAATTGCCGTTTTCGGCTGCGGTCATCCACTCAAGAGCGCCGCGAGCTCTGCATTCCTTGCTCCCCTACACCCACCGTCACACTCCGGCGAACGGCTAGTCAATGTCTGGCAAGACAAGCTGTCTTCCTCGATCGCTCCCCGATATCAACGAGGCCTGCAGTTTTCGAAGAAAGTATGTCGGACACGTCGAGCTGCGGCCTAATCTCGAGCTCATTGCACCTGACAGAGCGATGGGTCTTTCTCAAAACGCTAATCGAGCGAGAAGAGGTAGCAGGACGACCGCGGATTGAGGAAGAACAAGCGGAAGAGCAGGCGCAGCGACTGAACACTCCGCTTTCTGCTTTTCGGGTCTCTTCCACAAGCGGCGCTGTCACCACTGACAGTAACGATGACCCATGTCTACGCATTCGTAAGTGACATGCCTATTTGACTTTGTTTGAGTACGCCTTTCACTTGTACGATTGCACGGCAATCCTTTGCGTGGATCGCGTGGTACCGTCAGGCTTCTGATTCTCGTATCGCGGCACGACGACGATCACGATCACACCAATATCCTTCTTTTGAGATAGACTCTGGCTGTATGAAGGGTGGGAGGCGAGGCTGTGCCCGTAATTGTAAAGCTATACGATGATGGCGGCTACCAAAGCTTTGGGTAGCTCTAGGCTTGTTGCGCAGAAGTCGGAGAGTCCGCTCCGTCCAGGGATTGGGTCGGTTGAAAGCGCGGCATTCGCATATGCGTGCAGCTGGTTTGAGCGAGCTCCCCAATGTTTGCGCGTCTCGTAAGAGTGCCTTCTTCGTGGTATGCCATGCGGATCCTCGTGACAGCCCTGGCCACCGCCACCGCCTCGTGCAGGCAGCATTGCACGCCTGAAGTGCTAGTACACCAGCGTCTCTCCCCGCACACTTAACAGCTTCGCGGTTGGTCGTCTGCCTTTTCCTTATACCCCTCCTGCCGCTACTAGAGCTTGCTCTACCTCACTTGCTTCCTGCCGACACATACCCACTGCTCAGTGCCCAGCCTTTATTGAATCACCTAAGTGTTTGTAGGGCATCTTCATGTCGTCGCCGCCAGACGCTCGGAGTTCGCTTTTAGACTCTTACCCTCCTTCCGGGGGTCTACCATACGAACTTCGCCAGCCTTCTCCCTCAGAGCAGGTGCTGCTCCCGTTGGGCATACCGTCACCACCGACGGGATCCAGCTGGGGTTCTGACGATTCGATACACCTGCCACCGTCGCCGACGCTTTCGACTACCTCGTTTATTCCCTTCACCAATAAAACTACCCTGGCGCTGCGAGACAACAATCCTTATGAGCGCTCAGGAGTTTCTCCCTTAGGTCTTCTCTCTGTGCACGGTCATAGGCATGGTCGTGCTCGCAAGAACAGTAATGCTAGCACGCTTGACGGGAGCACAGAGGACACAGAGTCCGACTCAAACTCCATTGACGCGATCCCCCCGAGTCTGAGGCGCTGGCCGACACCCTTCCCAAGCAGTACGACCATGCACAAGCTCGGGCTCCGGTCATCCAGTTTGTACCTCCAAGAGCCGGTGCTAGAGTCAACGCCGCCGCCGCTGCTGCCGCCGTCCCCGCCGCCGCTGTCCCCGCCGCCGCCTAAGGCGCGATTTTGGCGCAGGATAACGGCGGCAGTAACTTCGAAACTTCAATCGAAGACGAACGCAAGCTTAACCACTCCTCCTCAAAACTCTTCTCCCAGCATAGTACCCGCCGACCTTGTAATGGACGGCGGCAGCGGCGACGACGTCGAAACATCGATAGAAGACCTTCCGATGAACGCTAGCTCGACCGATGCTCCCCAAGGCTCTCCTCTCAGCATAGCATCCCCCGACCTTGTGGCGCACGGTGATGGTGACGATGGTGGCATCGACGACTCTTCAATCTATACGACGACAGAGTCTGGCGAGGAGATGAATGTGCCGGAGCCGCCACTGGACATCAGCACG